ACACCCACTAAATAAGATGGAATATTTTTAGCCATAAAGTAAAAGCATTGCTTAAAGTATTCCTATAAAATGAGTAATTTTGGAAACAATATTTAGCTAGGTTCAATTTCGCGTGTATGTACCACATATCTCATATGTGTCTTAGGTAAGGAAAGAATTCAACATCCCAGTCACTGAGTACTTTTCAAAATTGAAATGGAAAAATATTTATTTACAAAGCAATCTTTACCAAAGTGTAAATGTTTGTAAGACTTCTGCTAATCCTATTATAAGCTTTAGTGTGTTGTTGATTTCTTATACCTCAACTGTGTTTAGGAATGGATATTTGTTATGACTATTACGACTATGAATTATGGTATGAGAATCCTGTATGGAATGATACTTTGCAAACCTATATGTAATAGTTAATCAGTCTTTAACCTTTTTTCTTCCTAAACCTTTAGTTTGCAAAGGGATTTTCTAACTGAAGTTATTTGGTTAGAATAACTAGTATTTTTATATCCTTTTTAAAAGGCTGCAGTAACATTTAGAGAAACTTTAAATTTTTTAGTAACTAGACTGAAAAAATTATTACTATACCTTAGTTATTGCTCAAAAGCTATAACTTATATTAGAAGAGTTTAAGTCAAGTTAGTGAAGCTAGTGTATGACAAGCAGCTCTCTAGTAAATATTTTATCAAATTATTTCAAAGAACTATTTCTTCTGAAACAATAAAATCTAACTGGAATTGAATTTATTTTCCTTTTTTTTAAAACTCAACACCATAGTATTATTTATTGCATATGTAATAAATATAATCATGTACCCCTTCAGTTGCCATATCTATAGACACTCTTTCCTAATGTGCAATCATTCTATATAGTATGTTAATTTAGAAAAGACTGATTGGGCGTACATTATTTGCAAGCCACCATTATTGGTGTTGAGCATTCAAAAAAATTAGATTGATCACGTCTTCAATAACCTTGCAGTCTGTCAAGGATAGTAAGATGTGTGTGTGTAACTAAACTTGGGTTAAAAGCCTTGATAAGCACCGCAAGAAAGGAATAAATCAAGTGTTAAGGATCTATATTTTACATCTCCTCCAGGGCTATATCCTTGGTCCAAGACTTTGAATCTTCCTCAGCTCCTAACACAAAGCCTTGCACATAGAACGCATTCAATTGGTGTTAGCTTAGAAGGTGAGCTGTGAAATTGTTTTGTAAATTTATGCCTATTCAGTGAATGACATTCTTATTAACCAACTGAATCTAAAACTTCAGTCTAAAAATATTATCACTAAAATAATGTTTTGTTAGAATTGTTTTAATTTTCATGAGTACCTTCTATCTTTTCATTGTACTTCATTTCTAATTTTATTTCAAGGCTCATTTTACTTAATCATATATGTTATTTTAATGTTCAATTTACCCAAATCTATAAGTTTCATGGAACATGGCTATACTTCTTCTACCTGTATGGTATTAGTAATCACAACTCATAAAAACCAGCTCTGACAACTCTTGGCATTTGTGTGGTTTTTGCCTCTGTTATGTACAACTTACTAGAAAAAGGTATAAAATAAATGATTGTCAGAACTTAAGAGAAATTAATATTTCCATATTTCTAAAAATCAACTGCAACTGTATTGTTCAATCTGAAGGTTGACTAAGTTGAGTCAGCTTTTTCAAACTAGATTTGTTTCCAAAGATTTTTCTTTTTTCACTAGTTGAAATTTTCTAAATAACCAAGATTCAGTAAAATAAATGGGCTTTCTTTTGATCTTCTGAATTGCAGAGAAAAAATGAAGGCATAAATGATGTCTCCTAAATCTTTTAATGATTCTTCAAGCCATGAAATATTAGATGTATAAGGAAGATGACATGTATTGTGTATTAGATTTAAGTAGGATATATTGGTTATGGTACCAGCTACTATATAGCTATTATCTTTTCAACCCTTAGCCACCTCTGTCAATTCCCTTCAGCGTGGAACTTTTCTTTGCTAGCTAAACCCAAGCAGAAATTTTACAGAAGCTTCACCTACTCCCCTTTCGAAGACACTTGACTAAATTTCACACAGCAGAGTGAAAAGAAAACAAAAAAGACAGCTTTTCTTTTGCCTAACTTCTAGCAGTTTGACTGTACTACTTGTGAATTTTTCTTGCCACTGAGTCATTGCACACAGAATTATGAAACTTTAATTTCTTTAGAGGCTTGTTCTATTAGAAAAATTGTTCCAAAGAAAGCAAAAATCTTGACATAAACACACCTGGCTCTTGCAAATTATTCTTTATTAAGCTTTCATTTAAATACATGTGCTGAAAGGTCTGTTTTTGATTACTATAATTTTTTTTATTTGTCCATCTGAATAATAGTAATGTCGGAAATTATACAAACCACCTGTTTTATTACCCTACTAATATGGCAAAGTTTGAGCTATTTTCTCTGTAGTTGATGACCTAGGAAGCTTTCTATTTATTATGATAGAAATTTGACTATCGAGGTAATAGCTTATTCTTGATTATAAAAGGAAAAGAAATTATTTGAATGAAGTTTTCAAGCATCGAGGCATCTGACTTATGGTTAACCATAACATATTAACACATTCATTTATTGCTCATTTTATGCAAATCTGAATATGGCAACAATTAAGGGTTTTAAGTGTAAATCTTCAGGAAGAAATAGGAATAGAGGCCAAGAAAGTTTTTGGAATATTTTGGAGTATGAGAAATGGATAGATGACTTACAACTTTTAGTAGGAAAAAAAGCTGATACGTAGCTTTAAGAATGTAAAGCCAGGGCCAGGGATTTAGCTCAGTGGTGTGGTGCCTGCCTGGTAAGTGCAAGGTCCTGAGTTTGATGCCCAGTACCACAAAGAAAAAAAAAAAAAAAAAGAATGTAAAGCCAAAAAAATCAAGCTCATATGGGAGCAGTTTTTGAAATATTTAGAAATTGAAGACATCATATATTACTGAAAACAAGGGTAAAAAGGTAAATTGTGCACATGACTGGTTGAAAATATGTATAAATTTGATCCCTCTCTAACCTTATTCGACCTGGTAACTACCATCCCTTCCTCCTAACCTCCACCACATGACTTGCCAGAAGACTGAAAGTTTTTTCTCTAGAGAAGTTGAACCTGACAGGTTTTTTGTCTTGGGAACATCAAACAGACTGAAGAATGAGTAATTGTGCTATTTTGAAAACAAGAAGGCTACATGATAGGCCAGCCAGTGAGGTCTCCCGGTTTCTGGCTCACATACTGATGGCATACACACCTATCCTGCAACCAAGAAAAGAATCTGAAGATGACTCTATAGGAATGGTCCAGTATAAGAGAAATGACCTACAGATAATGATATTTGAGATTCCCCAAAGTAAAATCCCATTATCTGCATTATTATCAGTCAATAAATCTAAGCCCAGACTCAGACTTTTCAGTAAACTTTTGAATTTGTCTTTCTCAGAGATGAATAAAAGGTCAGTGAACATTAGAGACCTTAGGAAAGTCTCTAATGGGAAAGAACCCAAAGAGTTTTAAACAAGAGTCAATAATGCAGAAAATAGAAAACAACAAAAAAACTCACATTTATTATTAGTATCCAGTAGAAGAAAGAGCAGGATGCTATAAAAAGAAGCAGAGAACAAGTGTACCCAGAGATATAATAATAGAAATTTTCATAGACGTCTTAGAAGATGTGGTTGAAAAAATATGTCATAGAGTACAACAAAAGGTCAAAGATTGGCAAATACAAATTAAAAATAAGAAAAAGAGAGGGTCAATGAGGAAGCCCAACATTTATCTAGTATGAGTTTAAGAAAACAGAGAGAGGAAATTTATTAATGAAAAATACCAGAAAACTTTCCTAACATTGAAGCACACAAGTTTATAGGTTCAAAGGGCTGGCTGAGTTTCTAGAATGTGGATGTAAAAACCATACATGGATGGACCCAGTAGTGAAATTTCAAAATACATATTATAAAGGGAAGATCCTAAGGCTTTTGAGGGAGAAAATAGATTCTATACACAGGATCAGGAATCAGAATAATATCCAACTTCTTTAGCAATAAGAATAAGAAGACCACAGATTATTGTCTTTGGAATTCTGAGAGAATTATTTTCAACTTAAAATTCAAGCTATAATCAAGTGGAAGAATATAATAATAATATTTCTAAAGATACTAGTCCCTAAAAAATTAACCTCGCATACACCTTTCTCAGGTAGCTCCTGGAGGATGTTCTCCAACAAACAAACAGTTTACCAACAGACAGGGAAACATGATAGGTCAGAAATGGGGAAACCAGGGGCATGAAGGAAGCTCTTTGTTACTTTATTCAAATTCAGAATCAAATGGGCAGCTCCTGTGCTGGTAAAAAGAAACTCAACTCACTATTTTTATTGTGGCAAATCTGGCAATATTCTGTTGAAGATCATATTATTCATATGCTGTCTAGAAATCGGACCCCAAGGAGAGAGTGACCATCACTGGGCCTCTGGAGTTCTGAGGGCAGCAGTCACCAGGAGAATCAGATCCCAGGGAAGCTCAGTCAGTGCAGGATGGGAATGATGTAGTCCTTCCAAGAATATAGGAAAGTTCAGGTTAGTTTCTGAGTTAGGAGTAATAAAATTACATGAGTGGATATACCAGACATTTAAAGAAATTTGTACAGAGAATTCAGGCACTAGAATCTTAGAGACTAGTCAAATTCATTTTTGGAATTCAGGACACTGAGTTCTTCAGAGATCAAATCCTTTTTCCAGGGTTGTAATGTTAGCTGCTGAAAGAAACGGGTATAGAACCATGATTCCCACACAAGTGCTCTTTCTGTTGTATTGTTTGTTTTTGTTGTTGTTTGTTTTGTTTTCCTTTGTAAAAAATAGTAATGAATAACTGCAAGGCTGTCAGAGAAATAGTTACCTAACAATATGGTAAGTATTTTGTTTTGTTTTGTTTTTTCTGAAACTCTGTTTCTGCTGCATTTAAAGAGATCAATGTTTGTCTTCCCTGTTTTGCAGCAGCTCTACGCCGCTCAGCTGGCCAACATGCAGGTGTCACCTGGAGCAAAGATGCCATCAACTCCGCAGCCTCCAAACACAGCAGGCGCCATCTCACCTACTGGGATAAAAAATGAAAAGAGAGGGACCAGCCCTGTAACTCAAGTTAAGGTATTTGCTTTGCAGGATTGTGGAAACAGTTTGGAAAATAGCTTCCCAAGAAAGGTAGTGAACCAGGATATGCTAGGAATAAACAGCAGGAACCATAGCAACATAAAGGATCCCCAAAATGCTCTTCTTTCTGGTACATTTCATGATTGAGCATTGAGAAACAGGTGTTCTCCTTTTGATAACAATAGTGCCATATTGTGAGATCTTTACCTAAATCTGAAAACACATTTCTCACAAAATTTTCTCCTTTGGATTCTGGCTTTTAATTTTTAATGTTCATTGGCATAAATGGCCATGGTTTTATTGCCAGACTTCTTCATAGACTTGTGACATTTTCTTCCATGTTTCTCAGATAGGTGGGGACAGTGTGTAATACCAGAGAAGGAAGATCCTGAATTCTTAGATTTAAAAGGGGAGATAATAAAGAATTTAATGCTGGGATTTATACAGTTTGTTGATAAAGGTCTTCTATATAAATGGCAGCTCTGAGGAATGAATGATCATTATTTCATCGTGCCTTTGATGCCATATAATGATTATAGGATGAACAAGCTTCTCAAGCTATGGCTGGGACACTAAAAGATGCATTTCCCCATTGATTTTCAATGTCTTGAAACTGGGCATTAAGGAGGTACTTAGCAATAGAGGGAAATTGATGAGCCACTCCAGCTTTGTTCTGTAACTTGTACCTATAGATGATACTGGTTTCTTTTTATGATTGCATTTGCTTTATATATTGAATTACTAAAATCAGATAGTTCAGAGAAACAATTGTTTTATATAATTGACTTACCTACTTGGACTTGTATGCTAAATGCAGATGCTTTATTATGATGTGGCAAAAGTATTGCATTTGGAGCATTTTTGTAACAAGGAAAACAGTTGAGACTCAGCATTGTATACTATACAATCACTGAACTTTTTTATTTTCTAAAAATTGGAAGTAGGAATTTTGAGATTTCAGAGAGTCTTGGAAAAAAGTGGACTCCAAAAATCAAAGATCAAAATGCAGTAAACTGTTAAGACTGTCTGCCAATGGTCCACCCTCCAAAACCACAGTTAATGCCACCCATTCTTTTAGAGTATTCAACAAAATTTATTTATGTTTTGCTGTTAGAAAAATTGAAATGTGACAATAGAAAATTTACATTTCAGAAAACAGTATTACTTATGGAAACAGGCTATTTTGGATTCCAAAAGTTTGTGCTTGTGATTAAGAATCAGAACATTCAGGCTGAAACCAAAATACTTGGCTTAACCATAGTTGTTAGAGTGTATCAAACATCAATGACTTGAACTATTTAGTATTAAATATTTTAACATGAAAAAGTCATTTCATAAGTAAGTTAGCCAACTGGAACTGCACCAAACCAAGCCTTTGCTGGATGAGTAAAATGTTCCCTGGTTAAATTCTAGTGTATATCTGCTTTTACCATTCCTTGCTTGTGGGCCAACTGAATTTTATTACTCATTTGACCACATGCAAATTCTTAAGGAGTTCTCTATGTAATTTGACTTGGCTATATTTATCTTAATGACAAAGGAATCATTTCTCATACTTAATTGTAGTATAGGAGGGTAAAAATATATAAATGAAGACATAAACCAAATGTTTTAAATTTTAAAACAGCTCCTATTATTGAAGTACTTTAGAAAATAATCTCATAGTTTGCTAATTAGAAGAATTAGGACCACCAAAATCTCTCATTGTTCTCTCTATAGCCATTGCTTTTCCTCTATATAACATAATTGTTTATTTTAAATTCAAACATTATTGAGAGCAAAGTTTGCTGAAGGTAACAAAAACATAAATGGTCTTATGTATTTTCTTTTCCTCAGAATTTTTATCTGCTGTAACTATTAACAACAGAAGTCAGTATATTTCCATTCAAATACCTATTCTACAACTTTTACTAGCTGTGTAAACTTGGGCAAGTTAATTTCTTTTGGCCTTAGTTTTCTCTTCTTTACAACAGAAGTTAATATTATTATGGGTCTTAAATGAGACAATTGATCCTCTAGCATATAACAAGGGTTCCATAAATATTAGTGGTAGTGATGATACTCATGATGGTAATAAAGGAGGTGGTGTGGTAGTTTTAGTGGTTAGAGTTGAAATATCTCGTAGTTTACTTACATGCTGAGAGAGATCCTAACTAAATACTTATTTCCATTGTCAATCAGATACAATTACTTTCAGATGTTTATAAAAGGAAAACAGGACTGTGATCCCTGTGAAAAGAGAAACAGTGAAGGGCTAGACCTGTTCCATCTTACTGTCTACAGGGAGTTTCTATGCAACTGTGTAGTGAGTTTGGCGGGCTCCCTGAGTAGAAGGAAGGAGTTCAGAGTTTAAGGGTGCTTACATACTTAGAATGTGTGAGGTAGGGTACCAGAGAGGAGACAGCTGCACACAGCAAAATGCTGAAGTTTTGCAAAAGAGTCCCTGTATGCTGGGCGCTGATTAGCACATTAATGTGAAAAAACTAACTGAAGTCAGGGAACAGTACCAGAATGTAGCAGGCAAAATAACTACATGGCTTACAAAGAACCATTGCATTTCCATTAGTCAGAGTACAAAGATCTCTTGACACATAGGGCATCAAGTAGAGTCCCAAGAAGAAGGGTATTACCTCTTAGTGGGACTAAATTATCTTAGATTAATGGATGTTCTGAACCTACTTAATGTATCTAAAAATCATGCCTCAGAAGAATCAAATTGTTCTGTGTCTCAATAAATTTGACAAATATTTAAAGAAATGCATAAACTCCAGCATCCAACATTATAAAAGCCACAATGTGTAACTTCTGTTCAATAATGACCAGGCTGGCAAAACAGGAAGAAAGTATGAATAATGTAGAGAAAAGGCAAACAGTTTCAAACAGACCCCAAATGATACCAGTGATAGAATTAATGGATAAAGTATTAAAAATCAACTGCTATAGAAGACCTCCAACTAAACCCATGTGAAGAGGTGGGCAAATTTACTCCTTATCATAAAAAAACATTTAAAGCTGGAGGAGATTGACAAAAACAATCATTTCGGCACTCTGGGAATTAAACAAAGGCATATATATACCTGAGAAAACATTTATGCTTCTTATGTGTGAGAGTAGTGGGAATCTGTGCATTTTTTGCCCAGTGCTGTTTTTGTCCCTGCTCTGAGGCTCAGCATAGAGTTTCTGTCAGGCTAAGGCAGGACCAAAAATAGGGATGCCACACTGGAAATGGATTCACTCTACTGGGAATTGGTAGATGATGTCCATGGCCAATAACATTGTCGGTAGAAGTGGCAATCATTGAATCATAAAAATAAGTAATACATTAGAGCATATTTAAAGCTGAAAAATATATTATAAAGTCCATATGTTCAAGAGGATAGAAGAAAATATGAGTATGATAAGGCAAGACAAATTGTCTACAGATGATAAATAATATAGTGTTTGAGATGAAAACTACACCGATTATAGCTTACATATGGCAGGAAAAAAATTAGTGAACTTGAAGACATAACAATAAAACTAGCCAAACTGAACCATAAAAAAGATGGGTCAGTACTGGGAAACAGCATTAAGGGTCCTAATCTATGCAGTTGGAGCCCCAGAAAAAGGAGGAAGGAACAGAAAATTATACTTAAAGAAATGTCTGAACATTTTCCAAATTTAGTGAAAAGTCTAAACTCAGATATTTTTGAATCTCAGTAAATTCCAAATAAAAGACACATGGAGAAGACTAACCAGATACCTAGATTGTACATGATTATTATTTAGATATGGGTAAAGGAACTAACTAGCCTATTAAATATTTTTTGAAGTAAGGGCAAAAGGAAGTAAACTACAGTTAAGCAAATCAGAAAATTTTGACATCCATAATGCATATAACCATGTTTCTTAAGAACATGTCCTATTTTTTTTTTTTTTTTTTGGTACAGGGGATCGAACTCGAGTCCTTGTGCTTGCACAGCAGGTGATGAAACCACTGAGCTAAATCCCTGGCCCAACATGATTGCAACATAGACATGACAGGTTGCCTCTTTCCTACAAGACCAAAACAAAAAGAAGCAATCAAGCATTAACAAAAACCTAAGATTATTACTACATTATCAAATAAGTGACCTTTTTTTTGGGGGGGGGGTGAGACAGAGTCTCGCTATGTAGTTCAGACTGGCCTTGAACTCACTATGTAGCTCAGGCTGGCCTCGAACTCACAGAGATCCTCCTGCCTCAGCCTCCCAAGTGCTGGGATTATAGATGTGTGCCATCACACCTGGCCAAGTGACTCATTTTCTCTGGTAGTTTGGCAGAAAAGGGATCTGAGACTTGGAGTCCAGTAAATTAGAATTTGAATTCTTTCCTTCATGTATGACTTTGAAGAAATGATTTTTATCTTTCTGGTCTTCATTTCTTTATTTATAAATTTAGAATGATACTACCCAGGTTTATGGAGTTATTGATGGCTAAATGAGCTAATATATATGAAAATGCCTGGCACAGTGCTTGATGTATAATCACTTCTGTGTTCATGTGATTTTATTTTTCTCTTTCCAGTGCCCCTTCTCAAATAATATTTTCTGGCATCTCTTTTTGTTCATCCTTAACCAATGATATCTTACTGGAGGAGACCTTAGGTGTCATTTAATATGTGGTGTTCTTTTCACAGATGAAGAAATAGAAATTCAACAAGACCACATGTTTCCAAGGGAGACAATATTCTATTACCAAACTCTATTGTGTATTTTAAATAATGACATTAATTGCAATTTCTCTGTGCCTTCCCAGAAGCAAAACAGGAGTTAACATTTGCTGACAATTTGATTTTAGAATATGGTCATATTTTAACCAAATTTCTAGAATGATAGAAGTATTGTTACAGGTATTTTATGTGAGGATAAATGAGACAGTATGAAGGCAAGGAGCTTAGCTTTCAAGTTCCTGGTTGAACTAATTACAAACTAGATTATCTGAATACTGTATTCAGTGTAGAGGGATATGCATCTTAAAATAGACATTCTGTAAATATATGTAGCAAAGACTATAACAAGACATCACTTTAAATATGAAAAATAAATTGTGTGTAGCATAGTATGTAAAACATAATTATAATGTGTGCTTGTTTTTTACAAAAATTAATTTTAAACATGAGTAGAGACCAGAATATAGATCACAAAGAGAGCTTACACCCAGAAAGCCACATAGAACCCATGGTGTGGCATGCGGCTGTCTGGGCGGGTCCCCAGAGATCAGAAGGATGCTTTCCATGTTTCCATTTTTAAGTACTTGCAATTGTTTGATTTAAAATATATATTAAAAAATTAGCTGCAGAGACTATTTATAGTTACTGGAACTTTTCAGAGAGAATAACAAAAGCACTACAGAGCTACTGAAATTTTAAATAATTCTTTGTAAATGCCCTAGGTTAATTTAGATCCCTGAAAACACATTAGGAAATTAAGCTGTAATGTGAGCTAATTCAGATTTTAATTTGGCAAAAAGAATGATCCAACTACACAGTTAATGTAAATAGAAGCATAACACAGGGAAATTAATGAGGTTTCCTTCCGATGAATCTTCAAGGAGGTAGATAATTAGCTTCTTTTGTTATTATTGTAGGAGAATGTGGCATTGTCTCTGAGGTGTAAAATAACTGTGGCTTACTAAGTGATAATGTGCTTCATTTGTCTTTTAAAAAAATAATTATTTATGTTAAACTCTTGCAGGATGAAGCAGCAGCACAGCCGCTGAATCTCTCATCCAGACCCAAGACTGCAGAGCCTATAAAGTCCCCAACATCTCCCACCCAGAGCCTCTTCCCAGCCAGCAAAACTAGCCCTGTCAATCTGCCAAACAAAAGCAGCATCCCCAGCCCCATTGGAGGAAGCTTGGGAAGAGGATCCTCTTTAGGTAAATGGAAAAGTCAACACCAGGAAGAGACTTATGAATTAGGTAAAAGAAAGCAAACCTGTTCAGTGATGACTCATCCTTTTTCCAATGTGTTCCTTAGTAAAAGATAACACTCTTATCTTTCTACTTAAAAATAGCTCAAATTAGTATTTGGGTGATTAGGACTTTTGGAAAATGTCATAATATAGATCCTGGGATGGGTTTTTTCTATGGTGATGGGTTAGATTCAGCAAATCTCAGACTTAGGAATTTCTGTATTTAGTCAGTGCTTTGCCCCTACAATATCTCTCTAAGGGCCCCAGGACCTGGCCTTAAAGCTGCTTGTCAAAAGGGCAAAATTTCAGGGCTGGGGATATAGCTCAGTGATAGAGTTCCTGCCTAGCATGCACCAGTCCTGGAGTTCAATTCCTGGTGCTAAAACAAACAAACAAACAAAAATTTCTTTGAAATTTTACTCCAAGGATCTCTAGGGGTATTCATCTCTCTTTATAAAAAGGATGAGAGGAAAAACATAGATTTGAGAATGAGACAGGCTGGGACTGAAAACCTTCACCAACTAGCTGTGTGACCCTGCGAAAGTTATTTAATATTGTTGAATTCAGTTTCCTAATCTTTGAAAGGGGAATAATATTGTCTAGTTTATAAGTTGTTATGAGAATTTTTAAAAAATGCGTATAAAGTGCCTAGCACAGAGTTTAGCACCTAGAATGCATTCAATTTTAAAAGATTAGGGTTAATGAATATCAACACATTTACATATATACAAGAAATAAAACTATAAATATGAAAGCACTTATCAGTAGAAGAGTGTCAGAAAGTATTAATATTGTTACTATATTCTGTAGGCTTCTTAATTTCCAAATAAAAAAGAGATTCAAAGGGATTAGGGACTAGATCTAGCATTTCTTCACTATGTTACCTTCCTTGTATTTTGGGGTCCTGATTCCTGGAATTCTTGCTATAATAGAATGATGTGTAAGCCATTTATAGTTTAAAAACACTTTTGGCTATTTGGTCTCATTTGGTTTCTCATAATAATTTTGTGGGTTGGATATTTTATTATTATGCTCATTATACAGGGAAAGTACATTGTGGTTCTTACTGATAGAATGATTTCCCCACAGTCCTGAAGCTATTAATTAGCCCAAACAGGACTAGAATCAGGGTCCTTTTATATAATTCGATCCTCTTTATAAACTCACAGTTGGGATATTTGCAAAACTGAGCTGGGTCTAAGTGAATCTTTTTAATGAGATATAAATCTTCCTCATTGAAATTTGGGACAATAGGATCTACACAGCAGCCTATTCTTATTTTGTGTCAGGATGTCTCTCTCACTTAGAGACTCAGAGACTTTTACCCTAAGTCAGTGGTGTCCATGTAGAAGAGAGAAGTGAGTCATTTCCAGTATGTGAATATGAAGAATATCCCTGGGCTGTAGTTTTAGATGTTGTGAGATGAGAGGAAAAAAACCAACAGAAAGATAAATAATGCATCTTGAAATGGTCCTCCTATAATTCACTTCTTTATTTTGTTTGGAAAGCATATTTTTATGGCACTGCAGATCTTGAGAGACGGAGATGACTATGTCACTAGCCTTGCCTGTTTTTATGGAACTTCAGCAGAGCATATTTGTTAGGTCATGAGCCAGATGGTCTGAAGTAATAGCACCCGTAGTTAGACAGCACTCTTGTCCAGATAGTATTGGGTAGAAATGGTCTTTTTTATCAGAAAAGCTCTAAAAATATCACTTTTCTATATCTTAAAAAATAACTGACTTAAAAAATTATTTTGATAATCTTGGGAATTTTTTCTAAACTCAAATGCATGTACATATGCATTGCCTATACAAGACATGTGATGTGAGCTTTATTGTAGTCTGGTTTCCTTTGTCCCCATATCTATGTGAGGTGTCCACACTCACCACATAAATACATATGCATGTACACATGTACTATGAAATGTGCATACTAGGCCTCAAGCAAGTGGATCATGTTAAAATTTGCCACAGCAGCAGAAACCTATTGATCCTCAAACAATTGCCTTCTTTTTGTTTAAAATTGGAAAAATTATTGAAAGTGTTCACCTTATCCACAGTAAAATGCAAAATATGAAGAAAAATTTGTTTCATTTTGAATTTTTATCTCTGCATTGTGTGGAATATAATGAAAGCAAATATTTATTCTCACTTTATTCGAGTCTTTGTACTTATGTGAAAACTATGCCCACATATATTGCCTTGCTGTCATGAAGACAGGAAGCTGAGAGCAGTGGGTGTTCGAGCTGGAGATAGGGAATGGGTTGTCATTCTCTTGGTAAATAACTGAGGCAGCATGATGGGAAGAATGCTTCATTAACCAGCCAGCAATTGGGGAATGGAGAGTGTGGCGTATTCCTTCCTGCCCCCTTGCTCCTGCAGTGGACACATGAATACACACATACAGATGTCACTAAAGTACACATGTAGCCTCACAGATTTTTTTTTCCTGCTAGGCCAGAAACAGCTTTGCTGTATGAATAGACTAAACATAATGGGGAGCCTGGTCTCCCTTCTCTTTTCTTACTTGCTGCTTCCCCACAGAGGAAGCAATATACACAAATTGTGGGTATAATCAGAACAGGTATTAGATTGGAATCTAGGAACCTTCACCTGTTAGAAGGTAGGTAGACAAAATGTACATTGAGTGGAGCTTTGGCATATCCTCCAAAGGCAGAGAGAGAGAGAGAGAGAGAGAGAGAGAGAGAGAGAGAGAGAGAGAGAAGGCACACATACACACAGCTTTCAGCTTGGTTGCCCTGGCTTTCTGTGCTCTGTGCGTAGTGTGGTACAGATTTCTTAATGACAAACACACCTCTGTTCAGAGAATGCAGTTCTACAGGGGAGTGGATAGTAGTGGTACTTTTAAAGAATTTAACCCTAATAACGCATCCTGTGTATACAGATATCTTGTCCAGTCTCAACTCCCCTGCCCTGTTTGGGGATCAGGACACAGTGATGAAAGCCATTCAGGAGGCTCGGAAAATGCGAGAACAGATCCAGCGGGAGCAACAGCAGCAACAGCCACATGGAATTGATGGAAAACTGTCCTCCATGAATAATATGGGACTGAACAACTGCAGGAATGAAAAGGTAACACTTGCTTCTGTCCTTCCCTGCTTCTGCTAGACGTATTGGCTCACTCTAATCTGACTCTTTCCAGGCTCTCAAGTATTAACCTGGAACCCAGATTTAGTTCTTTAGCATAAGGGCAGTCGTATTTTACTCAAATTTGTCACTTAAGCATTACTGATGATTAACAAGTACACCTTTCCCCACTTAGTGTGGCTTGCCTCCTAGGTGCCCAACCTACCTGTCTTTTGGTGCGTGTTTCTGTCACATTCTGAAATAATTAGAAATGTGCCATAATAAAGAGTATAGATGAGGTTAATAGAATAAGAATAGACTATCAGGGTATTAAAAAGGGAAGAAGCATATATGATTACAATGAAGGCTAATGTGGTACCACAACTCACCATTAACTTTAATATTGACTTTCCTATCAACTAGGGCAAAAAATAATTTTCAAAATGCATCTATTTATTGTTTGAGTCAACAAATCATTTTTCTGGTACCTTTTCTATGATAGACCCTGGTCTGGGTACTGGAGATATAAGAGTGAGTTAATCTGATAAAAATTCCTGCTCTTATACAGCTTATATTCTCATGGAGGAACATAACCGTGAAGACATAGGTCACTAAACACATAATATCAAGGGGTAAATAAATCCCATGAGAGAAAATCGAAGCAGGTTAGAGTAGTAGGGAGTGCTAGGGTGGTTACTGTAGATGGGATGGTAAGAACCCCCTGGGGAAGTGACATTGAGTAGAGGAGACCTGAATGAAAGCATTCTGACAGCTTCTTGCTACCAGGGTGTCAGGAGACGAGGCAGCGAGGACATATGAAGTAAATGCAATAGCCCAGGACAAAGCATTTTAGACCTGGTGGACCCTGGAAGGGATTTTTGTTTTATCCTGCATGTGATGAGAATCCCTAGACAGGTTCTGTTCATGGCATTGACGTGTAAGACAATCATTCTGCCTTCTGTAGAAATAGGCAGACCAGCTGAGAGGCTATTGTAGTAGGGTAAAATTTTTGATTATCTAACTCATCTGATAGAATGAAACATGCCTTTTTTAAGAGACAAAAATACTTACCCAGGCTAAATTGTGAGTTTTTTTCCACACGGATAGGACTATTTGGGGACAAGTGAATACCATGGTGGGTAATGTCTTTGGTAGAAGTTTTAGGGCAATTTTTAAAAGAATTCCATTCATGTTCATAGATTAAAATATTACTTATTATTAACAAAGTCAGAGCCAAAGCTTCCTCTTTGTTTCAGTCCTTGTTAATTCTAGCATGAAATGCTATGGCAGAATCTCATTAATCAGAAAAAAACTTGTAGTTTCTCTAATTCCTAAAAGGATTTTTAAATTTGCATATTAAAGAAATTAGAAGTATATGGTCCTGTGTGCTGTTACCCAGGGACTTGAATACATAGCCATACTAGGGTGTTCATTTTCCTGTGTTTCCTTTTCAAAAGGTATGGTGACATGATGGTATGGAATCATGGATGTATTAATTTCTTAGAATCAATAAACAACCACAAGCCAAGTTACTACATACAATAGAGGTTTATTCTCTCAATTCTCAAATAAAGGCCAATCTCAAATTAATTTATTGCCAGGGCTCTAGAGGAGAATCCTTCCTTACCTCTTCTTGGCTTCTGATGGTTGCGACAATCTTCACCCCTTTTTGGCTAGCACCTGCCTCACTCCAATTTTCAGGGTTGCCTTCTGTGTGTGTCTGTGTGTGTGTGTGTGTGTGTGTGTAAATCTCCAAATGGCTTTTTCCTTAAATGGATACGAGCTTTTGGATTGAGGGCCCACCCTAATCCACTGTAGCCTTATTTTAACTCCATTACAACCACTAAGACCTTATTTCTTTTTTTTAAATTAATTTATTGGCACAGTTTAGATATACAATACAATGACAATTATCATTGGAAATTTGCACCTTTACATAATCTCTCTTGGTTCTTATTTTTTCCTCATTCCCCTGCCCTCCCTTCAACCCCTCTATCCCTCCCTATTTACAAAGACTTTGTTTCCATTTTTTCATTTTCTCACATTATTCCATTCCCTTCTTTCCTTTCCCCTACCCCTCCCACCTCTCCTTCCCCTTTGTCGCTTTTCTTCCTATTTCACATTATCTATTATACCTTTTCGTCCTTATTTACACTTTCAGTTTCACACACTAGAGAAACTATTCGGTATTTACACATGTGTGT